TGGGGACATGTTTGCTTGGTTGCATCAGGCGATACCTATAGAAAAAGAAAATTCTGCATTGCTTTTTAAAATGTGTCACAAAAATGGTAAATTATTTAAATATTCAAAAGTCTCCTTTATTCAAACAATTTTTTTTTTTTTAGATCTTTCAGAGCAAATGCAAAATGCTTTGGCTTACATAGCCGATGGTGTATGTCATCCTTTGAAAGTACGTGTTGAGACAATTTTGAACTCTGAAAAAGACACCATTGTGCTATTTGCTATATCAAATCTTTTAAGATTCTACCAACAAATTATGAAACAGGTTGTACAAGGCGGTAGTTTGGAGCAATGTCTTACAGAAATGCAAAAGTCCAGTGAAGAGATTTATCTTAATTCATTATCTAATCAAGTTCGACAGATATTGCAAAAAAATGCTATGTCAGGTTCAGGTTTAGAGCCTCCCCAAAGGGATCTTGTACCGCCTCCAAGTCTTGGTCGTTTGTTAAATTTACTTAAGGAAATACTTTCTGTGGCCACAATGGTTGATGGTCGGCAATCTGATATAACCAAGATAATATCGTGCATAATTGATCCATTGTTACAATCAGTCCAGGAGTCTGCCTCTCATTTACCAACAGTAGATATGGCTGTATATCTTCTTAACTGCTTGTATCATATGCAAAGTACCCTGGCAGTGTACGAATACATGGACGAACGCGTTGAACGTTTGCAAGCTCAATCTGAGGCTCAAATAGATACTTTAACATCGGAGCAGGCCTCCTCCTTAGTATCCAATCTTCAATTAGGTCCCATTTATACAATACTACAAACTAATCAATCGAAAATCGAATCTAATCTATTGAAGATCTTCATGAATAAAATGGATGCGTTTTTGGAAATGCCCGAAGTATTATTGCTACCACAAATACAATTAATCATGTCCAGCTCTCACCGTACTGCTGTCCAAAAGAGATCTTTTAATGTTATTGTTGCTATCTATAAACAAATCTACGAAAGAATACATGATCCCGAAAACGGCTTCGAACATCCAGAGTCAATATTTTCAAAAACTCCTCAGCAAGTAGCTAAAATATTATCAGTTTAATAAAAAAAATAATAATACAAATTTTGATGCCTTTGCTGCGTGTGTGTGTTTAGTTCAGTATCTTTTCAAAAAATACAAGAAAACTATAATTTATTTTATTGTACCCATTCACTACATTGTGGATTGCTATAAGAAATTGACATAAAGAGAAGAATAAAAATAAAATATAAATTAAATAAGGTATCAACCAAAAGAATATAAAGAACTCGATAAAACATACTGAAAGAATAACATTATTAAATTGCTTGAGATTAAAAGCGGACGCGTTCTTAATAAAAAATAACGAGAATCTTAAAAAACTAAGTAAACACATATTTTGTTGAAATTAAAGCGTAATTCTTCAAACGGGAAACAAAACAGTGATTGCTTTAAAGTTACGGAAAAATGTAAGTCAGTATTTCAGATGTAAAACCACCATAATCAAAATTTGGTGTTCTTACTTAAAACTAATTTTTTGCTGGAACAAAAGTAAATTCTTTATATGTGATGAGTGCATTTGTTTAATAGTTTAATTTAAATACAAATACATTGAGAAAATGTGTGAAATGATGGCAAATATGTATGTACGTTGTATACTTTTGATAACAACGACATACATATTTCATAAATTTTAGATTAGCTTAACTCTAGTTTAGTTCCTTCAGTTTATATGGTTTTGTGTTTATAAACAATTTTTATAAGTAACTTTAAAGACTTGATATGTTTCTTCGAGTTTTAAATTTTTTAGGTGTCATAAAAGTAAAATGAAAAAAAAATAAGGAACTTTTATTCTGGAATACATCCTTCGATGGATAATTTTTGATTTTATATAATTAAATAATCAAACTACAGATTTGTGGTTGTTAATATTAATGTATATATATATATTAAGTATGTATGTATTTTGATGTTGACTTGTATAAAGTAACTTCAACTTAAAAGGAAGATTATGCCAATGTTATTGTAGTCTTTTGAAATAAATCCAATGTTAGGGCGCTCAAAAATGCCGGCAGCGATTTATTACCCACCAACTGAGTTTCTATTAGTGGCTTTAATGTGGCTGAATATGGTGTCTCTAGCATATCCAATACATTTGACTCATTTAAACGGAAATTTAAATAATGATCCGGACTTTCTGCATACATACTAGAAATTCTGTAAAGCAAATTATTGTTTTAGTTAAAATGTAGCGTAATTAAGTAAATTGAATGCAACGTCTTACTTGTAATTTGTATTGGCTCCTACACGATCTATGCGATAACCGAACAGCATGTAAACTACTTCACGAAACTCAAGACTTGCAGATTTATAGCATTCTTTCATTTTTTTCATCTTAGAATTCATTGACTCCAATTCAGTGCGTAATTGGTTGAGCTCTTTAATATTCATAGTCATGTTAGTAGACTCGTTGAAGCGAGCTTGCGTAACTTCGTTGTCTTCTTCAAGTTTCTTATTTTTTCGTTTTAAGCGTTCAATCTAAACGATACAAATATAATTTCGTTACATTAGATTATTTCATTAATTCTTATATCTCAACAGTAGGAAGTAAGTAATAATTGTTGAAGTAATCATTTTAACATCAAAGTAAATGCATAAAATATAATAATAAGTTTATTTCTTACCTCTGCTTGTAATTTTTCAATAACATTTTCAGCATTTTCATATGCTTCGCTAGCAGGATTTAGTTTCAAGTGTACAACTTTATACTTATCCATATTAAAATCACCTTTGAGACAGCGGTGTTCTAACTCCAGTTCTAGCTCTTCTTTCCGTCTACGCAAGCGTTCATTTTCGGCACGCAACTGATCCAGTTCTTTTTTGTAGTGTTCATAGCCGACTGTTGAATCAACACTCATGTTAGTACTTTGTTCCATGACCTGATCCATGTTTGGCAAAGCTTTAGCAATGGTCAATTCTTTTTCTAAACTTGTGCACATATCTTTGTAACCCAATAAGGTTTTTTCAAGCATTTCAACTCTCATTTTAAGTTGATTTTCTGTCGAAGAAAGGTCCACACCACCAGACGGATTGGAAATTGTGAGATCTTTTTCAAAATTCTCTAACAATTGTTTATAACAATCTCGTTCTTTAGACACTAACAGAAGTTTCTTTTGAACTCGAGCTTTAAAAGCCTTGTAGCGTTTAAGTTCTGCATTCAATTCTTCCATATTTTTAACATACATTTCACACTTTTGCTTAAGGTCCAACAATTCACTCTCAAGGGTTTTAGATTCCGAAACCTTTGAATTCTTTTCCGAAACCATAAGGACATCATGTTGCAAAAGTTCTTCAATACGTGCCCTCAATGCCATGGGATTGACATATGTATTCTGAGGACAGTGGTCTTGTCCCACCTTAATCCATTCGTTAAGGTCTTCCTGTGCATGTTTTAATTTCACTTGCAATTCCACGGCCTCTGATCGGGCACCTTCTTCCTTTTCCAAACGAGAACGCAAATCGTACACTTGCTCCTCCAATAATAACTTATTTCCTAGCAACTCTTGCAGCTGCTTATTATTTGAACGTAAACGTTCGATTTCTTTGTCCATATCTGGAATGCTCAGTAAGCGGTCCTGAGAATTCTGTAACAAATATTAAAAGGTAATTGATTTTAAATTTTCAACTGTTTATGTATGTAATTACCTTGGTGATTTCCTTCCAATCGTTGTAGGAAGCTATTTCAAATTCTAATTCCTTAATACGTTGATTGGCATATACTAAATCCTGACTGACTTTCTCATGTTGCAATTTCAGGTCATCAAAAGAGGAAACTTTAGCTTTAAAATCCTCCAACTGGTTTTTAGTTGACTCCAACTCATCAGAGGTTAATTCCATTTCCTATAGAAAGAGTTAGTTACATATATGTAGTTTCACATAGACCGATACAAAGCTTACCAATTCCATTTTTTCCGCATGCCTTTTATATTCGCTTAATTCATTGGCCATACTATTTTGAATGAGACGTGCATTTTCCTCTATATCGTGTTTTGATCTTTGTAATTTAAGAATCATGTCTTCGTATCCATGTTTTTGTTGTTGGATTTCACTTTGAGCCTTTAGCATTTCCTGTTTTGCTGCATACTCACGTTTCCTTAAAACTTGCATATGTTTCTCTAAATCTTGTATTTTTCCAGAAGAGAAATCGCATTGCTTTTTCAATTCCGAAACTCGATTTTCATACAAAATTTCAGATTCTTGTCTTAATTTGTGTAAACGTTCGATTTCTTGCTTGAATTTTGTAATCTATAAAAAGTGGAGATATAAATGGTATATTTTATAAATAATTATTAATGGCTACTCACCCTAGTTTTCGCTTCAATTAAATCAGCTTTCATGCGTCTAGTTTCCCAAGGACTAGGAGGCACCGTAATACTTGAATTCACCGATAGGTTACTTTGATTGTGGCTCACATTTGACGAATTATCCTCGAAGCTTTGAGAAAAGCGTCTCTTTTTCGGTACTAAAACATGAAATAATAAATATTTTTGCATTTTATGAATTTTTAAGAGGAATTCAAGCCGGCAATTATAGCATTTACTACTTACTTGTGCCCGAGTCATTGAAAGAGTCGCTTAAATGTTCAAAACTTAATTTCTTGGGAGCAGAATGGGTTACGCTGTCATTGAATTTAGCCAAAATTTTATCTAGACTTGTTTTTATGTCTTCCATTATATTTTCTATTATTACAATTCTTTTTTTTTTCACAAAAATTTCTTTGAGCACGCCAGAAAACAAATACACACAATAAAATTGTATCTTCTTCTTCTTCTTCAAAATAGTTTGCAAAATAAAAAAAATTATAAACACAAGGTTGTATTTTTTCGTACTTTGTTAACATTTTTTGGTACTACTATTTTTTGCAACTATTCTCATCTGCGGTATTCGCTGCTACAACGTTGGCAGCGTCAAGAAACAACAGAGGACCAGTACATACATGCAAAATAAAAAAATAATAATTTAATTTATAAAATGTTGAATTTATAATAATGTTCTAAAAGACAACACAAGTACAAATATTTATTAAAAATATCAAAATATATACTTAACGTTAGTGATCACGTTAACGATAATGTGATTTCGGTTTAAGGTTCTTTTTTAAATCGAGTACTCGTAAATCGTTTATAAGTTTTACTTCACTAATGTTTACATTTACACAATTGAATTAAAACCAAACAATTATTGTTAATAATAATGTCGGCCGATATCAAATCGTCTGAAGATGAAATATTAAGCTTACGCAGAGAAATACAAGCATTAAAGGAGGAGTGTGAAGCAAAGGAGCAGAGACTCTTGGAATTGCAAAAACAGCAAAATGTAACAATAGCAACACAGTATGGCAGCCGCCTAAGCAATGAGGACATTGAAAGGTATAGTCGCCAATTAATTTTACCTAATTTTGGGGTAAAAGGCCAAATAAAATTGAAAGAGACGTCATTTCTAATTGTGGGACTGGGAGGATTAGGTTGTCCTTCCTCACAATATCTATTGGCTGCTGGCTGTGGTCGTTTGGGTTTAGTCGACTACGATGAAGTAGAACGGAGCAACTTTCATAGACAAACTCTCCACACAGAAGCAAGAGTCGGAATGACAAAAGTGGATTCAGCTAAAGCAGCTTTGTTGGAAATAAATCCTCATTGTCAAATTGACTGTCATCGTCTTTTGCTGAATAGTGAAAATGCTTTGGAACTGCTGCGTCAGTACGATGTCATATTGGATTGTACGGACAATGTGGCAACTAGATATTTATTAAATGACGCTTGTGTAATGCTGAATCGACCACTGATATCAGGAAGTGCACTACAGATGGATGGCCAACTGACGGTATATAATTATGGAGATAATGGTCCTTGTTATAGATGCCTGTTCCCAGTACCACCGCCACCTGAGACGGTTACAAATTGTGGAGATGGGGGTGTATTAGGGGCTGTTACCGGAATCATTGGCTCGTTGCAAGCATTGGAAGCCATAAAAGTGGCATTGGGATATTCCAGTAGTGAAGTATTGTCGGGCCGTTTACTTCTTTTTGAAGGTTCACGCAGCATGTTTCGAAATATACGACTCCGGGGCAAGCGTGCGGACTGCGATGTTTGTTCATCAACTCCTTTGATAAATCATCTAGTTGACTATGAACAATTTTGTGGTATGCGGGCTTCAGACAAGAATGTTGCATTAAACATTTTATCCCCTGAAAATCGTTTGACCGTTGAAGAATATCGTGATAACATTGAAAATAACCCACACATGTTAATTGACGTTAGACAACCGGCTGAATATGAAATTTGCCATTTGGCTAAATCCGAAAATATTCCCTTAAAATCACTTTTAGATGATTCGTATTTGAAACTTAATGATGAAACAATAAAAAGCTCCAATCAGCCTATTGTTTTATTGTGTAGGCGTGGAAATGATTCACAAATAGCTGCTCAGCATTTAATACAAACATTTCCAAATCGTAAAATATACGATATTAAAGGTGGTCTATACTCCTGGCATTATAAAATTGATAAAAATCTACCAATCTATTAGATTGTTCGAAAAAACATTGATGGAAATATTATTGAACACAATCAGTACATAAATTAATCTTAATTTCTATATGTGGTATGTATGAAGGTATGCTGAAAATATCAATTGTTTTTTTTTTTTTTTTGGTTAAAAATAAAATATATTTTTGTTTATAAAAACAAATGTTTAGTTCTATTTATTTGGGTATACTCAACAATAAGTACCCTTGACTAAAGAATTTTAACATAAATTTTATACTCACAAAACAATTTTCAATATTTAACTCAAATTTTAATTTTTTATAAAAAAAAAAAAAATTACAAAAAAATTAAATTTGTCATAAAAAACAGAAGTTTTTGCAAACTTTAATTGTAGGTAAAGTGAATTAAATCATAAAGCATAGTAGAAATTTTTGACAAACCTCCCATGATTGTTCAATGTTTATACATATGTATGTGTGTATGTTTACATTTGTAAGTATGCGTTTTTCTTTACCAATTAAGTTACCTCTAGTTAGAATGAAATTCCTTTGTAAAATTTTACTTACTAATCATTTAAATTTCTTCTTCTAACGCATTGAAGGATTATTTTTGGATTTTCCATCAAATTTTATGTTATTGGGATTGGTCTTCTGTTTACAAAGCTGTTGAATCTAAATTGAAGTGACTGTAAGTAGTTGTTATTAGTATAGTTGGGATTTTCATATGAGTGTTGAATAAAACACAAAAAAAAAAAAAAAAACAAACTTCAATAAGTATTAAATCATTGGAAATGTTTAAAGCGATTTTACAAGAGTATAAAGTGACACTTGAAATAGTTTTTATTTAGCAGTGAAAGTGGTTAAACGTTAGTATCTACACATATTTTAAATGCAATTTTTTTCGAAAATATTATTAAATTGTGAAACTTTTAGCTTTCTTATTATATTATTTTGCCTTTGTGGTTAATACTTGAGCAAGAAAAAACGGGAATAAATATTTAAATTTTGAAAAATGGTTTCAATTTTGTAGTCATTTCGAATAATTTCGTAAACACAAAAAAGTTTGTTGGATTTTTTAAATTTTCTTATAAAAACATAAATAATGTTTGTTAAGTAAACCCTTAAGAAAACCCCATAAGAGTAAACAAATTTCAATTCCACTTTAATAATACACTTTTTATTTCGAATGAAATTTCATTATTTGTCTTGAGAAGTAAAATCATTCCACATTTGAACGGAATGGATTGTGTCAGGACTAATATATATATATTAGGGGCTTATTCATAATAAAAAACCAACTTCCCTAATGGAAATTTACATACAAAAAAGTTATCAGCTCGTTTTTCATTATGAATAAGGCAGTAAATTCCAGCACCTGTCAAATACCGGTACAGAAAATGTAAAATACGACTGTGTCCTGGTAGTAATTTTACTATAATTCACGTAATGTGTAAAAAAATTATAATTTTAAAGAGTGTGTTGGTAATGTATGGAACATGCTAACAAGTGGTCTAAAGAGCGTTTGAAAACAAGAGTAAAGGAATGTAAAAGTTACACTGTACTACATTAAAGGCAGTTTATATTAAATTAATGTTTATTTTTAAGCGATATATTGAGTGCGTATCTAAAGAATAATAGCAGAGAATGGTACAAATATGAGTGAAGTGAATTTACAATTACTGAATAGATTACTTTTCAATGTCTTCATCATATTATTTTTATTACTTATACATAGTTATTTTATTAAAGACTCAATCAGCAACATGGTTTGATTTCAGCTGGTGATGAATCTTATAAAATAGTTCCAAATAACAAAAACTCATATTGATAAAGAATAAAGTCACGAAAGAGCATGAAAATAGAAGAGATTAAAATGTATAAATAAGTTCTCTCTTAAAAAATCTTTACAGCTGTTCAGTGTTGCTGTTAGTTTTTATATCACTTGTTTTAATAACTGCAATTTTTCACAATCTTTGTTGATAAAACTAATTACAAATTTCTTGGGTGAAGCAATAACATATAATTACTTAAAAGAAAATTTTTCATTTTCCACTTTTTCTTTTATTTGAACAAATTTATTTCAATGGTAACCCCAGTCGCTGTTTGCCTGGTAAAAAAAGTTATCTGAGCAATAGAGAAACATTTTATTTTAACATTGTCAATCCCAAGTAGTATAATACTAATGTATGTACCAAATAGTAGATGAAAATGTATAAACAATCAAACATACAATATAGAAGAAATGTTGATATACATAGTATGTATGTATGTAGAAATGTATGGAAAGTATGAACACAATGTATATTATCAGGACCATGAATACTATTATTGTAGTAAAAAGCAAAGACAACGTAAAATCAGTTGCAGTGCGTAGGCGGTTGTCGTGGACGTCGTAGCTCTTTTTGTTGATTAACTACACGTGCTTACAAAAATTGTAAATATTACTAGTACAATGTCAAGGCGCGTCGGAGGAATTATTTTATATTGCATACAATATTCATCATATACCTATCTAGTATATAATTAAATAGTATAACAAATTTACAAAACAAATAATATATCGCACAGAAACGCTTTAAAAAGCAAACAAACTACGAAAACTATTGCTGCTTTTTTTGGAATTATAAGAAAAAAAATATGAAACAAAAACAAATTCATTTAAATTTTTTACAAAAAAGTGTTAAATAAAATCGATATAAATATAAAACTAAATAGAAAAATGTGAATAATATAAAAAAAACAATTGTTATTTGATTTTTTTTAATAAATTTGTTTATGGCACATTGTTATTTGCACCTTTTAAAAATTAATTACAGACAATAAATAAATGACAATAATTTTCATAGAAAAACTAAATATATACGAAAGTTTTTTATATAAAATATGTATACATACACATATTTATTTTACCTGGAAAATATTAATAATTTTCAACGTTAAAACAACAATAAATAAAATTATAATTTTAATACATAAAAAAATATTGTTAATAAACATTAAGGTAAACAAATAATTTACTATAAAAACACAAATAATTCAATTATATAAAACTATAAAACGAAAATAGAATATAATCCCTTAGCTACAATTGTATGTATCTGATCTGACCCTACACACTCTTATACACGGATATAATTGTTTAAAACCAATTTATAATGATTTGTAAATTATTAAAATAAATAATAATATAGCAATAATTTTATATAATTTGTATAAGTGAAAAAATATCAATAATATACATACTTATCTTTATGTATGTATATGAAAAAAAGAAAAAAAAAAACAAAGAAGAATTTGTATAAACTTCAAAAAATGAAGAAGAAGAAAATGTAAAGACAGGAAAAAATCTATTCTGTTTTCGTTTTTACACTCAACAAACCAAACAATCAAACAACCATTATTTTCACCCAACACATCTCTTAAGGATTCTTCTTAATACGAAAATGAGAAACGATAAAAATATACTTACTCACACAAACACACTGGGATACACGTACACACGTATACTACATATCCACATACAAAAACATTGTGTCCTGGCAAAGTTTTTTCAAAGTTTTCCATTATTATATGTATTTGTATATGTTTGTAAGTGTGTTAGCTTAACATCCATATACATACATACATACATTCACACATACACATCTCGCTATCTAACATTCGTCTTACCAACAATTGTTACATGTATTTCCAGAGAGCTACTACTACTCTAAGTCTTAACTGACAATAAAGGAATTAACAAAAGAACAACAAAAACAATAGTAACAACAGCAAAGTAAATAGTTACTTTGGAACAGCAACAAGAAACTATTATATATATTTTTTTTTCTTTAAAAGAGACGTTAGATACTTTTAAAGCAACTGACAACCGCCAAAGATTATGCAGCACAAACATTAAGGTATGTAACTAAATCTACATATATATTGCTTCAATACATTTGTCTTAAATAATATTGAGACAAAATATGAAGTTGGGGAAAATAAAACCTACATTTGGGTTTAGTGCAAAATTTTCCACTAATTGAGAAAAAATTATTTTCATTTGAAAGTTTAGAATAAAAATTATTCGTTCAATTATACGATTATTTATAGTTGAGTTTTACTTTCCAGTTAATTAGTATAAATTAATTTAAAAATTAAAAATCATTAAGCATTTATTTTGATTTAGAGCTTCAATATCACTATTTTATTGTGGTCCTTTTGTATTTATTAAATCCTGTAGTACCTAATCTATTAATATATAATAACTAATATCAAAATTTTGCAAATTGGAAAAACTTATTTGAAAAATGTAATTGAAAGAAAGTAAGATTGAATAAGGTGATAGTTAGGTAGTTAGTTGTTTAGTTAGTTAGTTTGTTTGTTACTTAGATAATTAGTGAGTCAGTTAGTTAGTTTCAAATAAAGATGTATGTTCCAACAAATCCGAAGAAACACACCAAGGCCTCTCATCGGGCCAGTTGTCCAAAAGTAATGGTCTTGGATGTTACAGATATAAGCACAAAAACGCAATACTCTGACCATCAAAAATCGATTTTTATTCGAAAAACCTAAATTAGTCTGTGTTCCTTAAATAACTATTCAATCAAAAACATAATCAGCGTAAATATGTTGTTTTAGTTACAAACAAAACTATTTATTTGTTTAATTTGTACTCGCACGGAATATAGAATCTGGTAGTAAATATTCGTGTTGCTTTGTCTCATAATTGTTTTATTTTTGATTGATTTATTTCAAACAATTCTTGCGGTGATAAATGTTTTCTGGATACTCATGTAATTCTATTATTCCCAATAATTATAATGGAAATGTATGAGTAATATGCTGTAATTAATATACCTCATACGTTCAGATGATAAATAGCTTTTAACGAAATCTATATGTCAAATTAGAAATTAAAGGAGGGTTTGTGGATTGTACATTTAAATTTCAATTCATATTAAACTAAACCTTGCTTTTAGTTAAAATATTATTTTTCTAATTACCGAAAACACACAATAAAATTTTGAATCAAAAAATGTTTATACAAGTTTAGGTATAAAAATTCTTTCGAACGGTTTTCACATTTTTACTCAATTATCTTGCACTAAACAATTCAAAATTACATATAATCTTCTGTAATCAAAATTATTTTGTGTTTATTAAATGAAAGAATAATAAAAAA